CTCCAGCCTGGAACCTGGGCAACAGTGTAAGACTATCTCAAAATGAATGCATAAATAAATAAAATAAACGCGGGGGGGGAGGATGCTGGGGGAAGCTGAGGGGCAGCTGGGAAAGGACCTCCCAGGAACAGAGGTCAGAGGAGCCGCCTGGCAGCTGGGCCTGTAGTTTAATTGTAACATTGGTGCCAACGCCCCTGGCACCTGCTCTGCCAGGCCCTGGGCTCTTGTCCCGATGCCCCACCTCCTCACACACTGCCAAGTGTTTTCAGGGTTCAGCTCCCTGCATGTTTACACCCTACCCAGGACCACTGCTTCCTCCCTGCGAGCTCCACCCTGTCTCCTGCAATCCTCTGGCGCTAGCTGCTGGCAGGAACGCACTGAGCTGGGGGCGGGGAGCCCAGGCCGGGCACCCCGCTGACCCGGCGCCCGCCCGCCTGCAGGTTATGCTTGAACAGATGCAGGGCGTGGTGCGTCTGGAGCTGTCGGGCTGCAACGACTTCACCGAGGCCGGGCTGTGGTCCAGCCTGAGCGCGCGCATCACCTCGCTGAGCGTGAGTGACTGCATCAACGTGGCCGACGACGCCATCGCGGCCATCTCGCAGCTGCTGCCCAACCTGGCGGAGCTGAGCCTGCAGGCCTACCATGTGACGGACACGGCGCTGGCCTACTTCACGGCGCGCCAGGGCCACAGCACGCACACGCTGCGCCTACTCTCCTGCTGGGAGATCACCAACCACGGCGTGGTCAACGTGGTGCACAGCCTGCCCAACCTCACCGCGCTCAGCCTCTCGGGCTGCTCCAAGGTCACCGACGACGGCGTGGAGCTCGTGGCCGAGAACCTGCGCAAGCTGCGCAGCCTTGACCTCTCATGGTGCCCACGCATCACCGACATGGCGCTGGAGTACGTGGCTTGCGACCTGCACCGCCTGGAGGAGCTCGTGCTCGACAGGTGCGCGCCCGGGGCCGCGCCGGGCGGGGCAGCACAGGGCGGGGGGCGGGGCGGAGCGGGGCCGCGGCGGGCCGGGCTGCACGGGGAGAGGCGGGGCAGGGGGAGGGCTTCTGGCGGGGCGGAGGCTGTGGCGCGGCGGGCAGAGCCCTCGGAGGCAGAGCGCCTGGGGACCGGGCAGAACCGTAGCACGGGTTGGCTGGACCCTTGTCCTTCCCGGTGGGTGGGATCGAGGAGGGGCCTGTGGCTGCTCCAGGTGGGGCAGGAAGGGATTCACGCCAGGGGCACTCCCAGGAAGACGAGGGAGGGCCCGGGCCAGGTGATTTGAAGGAGGGGGTCCCCTCTGGTGCAACCACAGGTGTGTACGCATCACGGACACTGGCCTCAGCTATCTGTCCACCATGTCGTCCCTCCGCAGCCTCTACCTGCGATGGTGCTGCCAGGTACCGGCTCTCAAACACCCAGGGATTGGGGAATCGGCGGGGAGGTGGGGGCGCGGGGAGAGCTCCTGGACCCACTCAGATCCTGGGAGAGTCTGGGGCCCCTCCCTATCCAGCAGCCGACCTAAGCGGAACCCAGGGGTCCCCGGCGGCCCCCACCAGCACTTCCCAGCTGCCTCCCGGCTCCGGGATGACTGAGGAACCCCGGGCTTGAACCCGCCTAGCCCTCCATGGACCCCAGGGTGCCCTCCGCCTCGGTGCGAGCGGAAATCATTAAGTCGCTCCTCCACGACCGACAGGTGCAGGACTTCGGGCTGAAGCACCTCCTGGCCCTGGGGAGTTTGCGCCTCCTGTCTCTGGCAGGTGAGACCCCCGTTTCTACTCTAACGCTGAGCAGTGACCACCCACCCCCACCTAGTCCGCCCGCCCAGCCTGCCCGGTCCTTGTGCAAACTCACGCCCGGCGCGGACACACCGTCCCGGGTCCGAGGCGGAGGAGGAGGGAGACGCGGGCACTGAGCCGCCCTATGACCCCGCCGTCCCCGCCTTCCCCGCCCAAGCCCTGGGTCCTGCGCACTGAGCCGCCCTCTAACCCCGCCGCAGGCTGCCCGCTGCTCACCACCACCGGGCTGTCGGGCTTGGTGCAGCTGCAGGAGCTGGAGGAGCTGGAACTGACCAACTGCCCCGGGGCCACCCCCGAGCTCTTCAAGTACTTCTCGCAGCACCTGCCCCGCTGCCTCGTTATTGAGTAGCGCGGGGCCCCCGCCCTGGTCGCGGGAACCCGGCCATGACCTGGGCGGGGGCGCGGGGCGCCGCCGAGCCCCCTCTTCCCGCCTTGCGCTCGGGGGAGTCCCCGCGCCCCCGGCCTAGCGCGGGAGGCGGGGCGAACCGAGGGAAAGCCCCGCCCCGGCCTTCGGCCCCTCCGCCCTCCCGACCCCGCCCCGGGCAGGGGGGCGGCGGGTGGGTCCGCCCCACGCACGCACGCACACTCGGGGACTTTGTGCATGCCCCTCGTGCCCGCACTGCACGCCGCCCTCCGCCACGCCACAGCCACAGCCGCCGCCATCACTCGCTCGCCCGCCCGCTTGGGGGGCGGGGCTCGGTCCTTGGGGGGCGCTTTGAGCTCTCCAGACTGTCCTTACCGCCTTCCCCGCCACACCCGCTCTGTCTCCCCACTGTCCCCCCATCCCGGGCAGGGCCCAGGGGAATTGAGGGGGCTGGGTCCCCCAGGACACAGGGGCCCGGAAGAGCCCTATGGGCTTCCTGCATCTTCCACCGCACCATGCCTGGAGCCCTCCGAGGGGTGTCAGGGGAAACAGGCCACCGCCAAAGCCATGGCCCGCCGCCGAGAGCCCAAGCCCCACCCGCACCTCCTCACCCATCCAGTCTGACCCACGCGGCCTCCCTTCCTCCTTGCCGCTGTGTGGGGCAGCCCCCTGTCGGCCCCCTAACCCAGCCTTGGTTCCTGGCCAGGCTGAGACAGAATTGGGCAGGGAGAGGGCAGAAGGGCTGGCGATCACTTGGAGTCATTAACATTATCCCAGCTGACTCCGGTCGGCCTCAACCCAGGGGTGGCACAGGCACCTTGCAAGCCTCTGAGCTGGAGCCACCCTCAGGCCTGGGGAGAGGCCTGGGCCAACCCCACACCTCAGCTCCTGCACCCAGCCGGGCTCAGTTCAGGCCTGGGCACCGAGCTTCACCCTGGGCGATCTCCTCAGGTGGAGTCTGCAGAGTGGACCCAGCCAAGGGTCAGGGTCAGCACTGGGTCAGCGACTCCAATCTTCCAGTGGCCAGCACACCCTAGACACCCCAAGGAGGGAGGGCTCCTTTCTGGCCTCCCCGCCACTTCACCCCTCCCCAGCTTCCCAAACTTCTGCCTGCCCAAATGGGCTCTGACCGTGCTCTGTCGGCCCGAGACATTTGGAGGTCCTGGGGGATGCTGGCAAACCTCAGCCGTCGCTGAGGAGGGGGCTGGGGGCCCCTTCCCACCCCAACCTTGAGCCCCAGGAGATACAGTGCCCACACCCAATCTTGGGACACTCCCTATCTGGTTGGAAGAGAGTAACCAGTTTCCAGAGAGCCAGAGAGTGAGAGAGAAAGAGTGAGAGAGAGAGAGAGAAAGAGAGAGAGAGATGCTGTTGAATCAGAAACAGATCAACAGCCCAAAGATTTTCCAGCCCCAGGAAGCTCCAGGGCTGAGTGGTCAGGAGCCAGTTTCTCCAGCCCCTCCTCCCCACAACCCCTAGTGGGGAGGGGCAGCTGTCCATTTGCCCAAAGTATTAATGCAACTGAAGCTGTGATATTTCCAACGACTGTAGGAGGAAAAATTAAGGGGAGAGAGGAAAACAAAACCAACCAACCCCTAAAATCATTTTCTTATTGTACATAACGACCTCATTCTCCTGTATATGCGGAAGATATAACCTTATATTTGGTAAGTGTTTCTTGTGCTATTTTATCACGTGACCTGTTTATAAAAATATATATTAAAAAAATTGTAAAAATCTGTGTCTGAGTTGTTTTTAGGTCACCAGGCCACAGTGTAGGATGGCGTATCTGCCCTGGGCGTCCCAGGTCTCGGGATTCTCCTGTGCCTCTTATCAGATTTATTCTTTCTTGCAACAAAGGGGTAGAGGCTGGATGCCAATGTGGTAGAATGGAAACAACAGTGACTACACGGAAGGCAGAGGACCTCCCATTCCTTAAAGGCAGAGACGACACTAAAGTCACTACACATAATATTCCCTCCAAAGTATCTAGACTCTAGCCCACCCATCCGGAGAAGCAGAAATGAGCCCTATTCTATGCACAGAGTAACAGGCAGGGACAAGGATGTCGCAAAATATTACACAATGCACCAATAGCAATGTCTGACGCCCAGGGAAGAAAGGTCGAAAGAGGGTAACTGAGGCTGGGCACGGTGGCTCACGCCTGTAATCCTAGCACTTAGGGAGGCCAAAGCGGGGGCGGGGGGGTGGATCACCTGAGATCAGGAGTTCGAGACCAGCCTGGCCAATATGGTGAAACCCTGTCTCTACTAAATATATAAAAAATTAACCAGGCGTGGTGGTGGTTGCCTGTAATCCCAGCTACTACGGAGGCTGAGGCAGAATCACTTGAACCCAGGGGGTGGAGGCTGCTGTGAGCTGAGATTGCGCCACCTCACTCCAACCTGGGTGAAACAGCAAAACTCCGTCTCAAAAAATTTTAAAAAGAGACTGGGCACGGTGGCTCACACCTGTAATTCTAGCACTTTGGGAGGCCAAGGCGGGTGGATCACCTGAGGTCGGGAATTTGAGACCAGCCTGAGCAACATGGAGAAGCCCAGTCTCTACTAAAAATACAAAATTAGCCCAGCATGGTGGCGCATGCCTGTAATCCCAGCTACTCAGGAAGCTGAGGCAGGAGAATCGCTTGAACCCGGGAGGCGGAGGTTGCAGTGAGCCAAGATCGCACCACTGCACTCCAGCCTGGGCAAGAAGAGCAAAACTCCATTTCAAAACGTTTTGAAAAAAGAAAGAGGGCAACTGGTTGAACAAGTGTTCAGGCACTGAGCATTCGGTGGGGACTGAGCCAGAATGTGATTCCTGCCCTGGTGGAATTCACACTCGTATGTGACCAACAACCAGTAAACAAACGAATGGGTGGTGACAAGTGCCGTGGAGGCCACAGTGATGGAAAGGCCCATTAGGACAGTGGTCAGGGAGGTCCTCTCTGTGGAGGAGGCATCGCATGCGCAATGTCCCCGAGACAGGAAAGGGCTTGGTGGGCTGGGAATGGGGGTGGAAGTTGCTGTGGCTGGAGGTACACAGGGGAAGGCAGAGGCCAGGTGTTGGGGGTTCATTCACAGCAGAGTGGGAGCTGCCAGAGGCCTCAGGCAGAAGACCTGGTACCTGACTTCCGTGCGGGTTTCAGATCAGAGGGGAACGACGGACCCAGGAAAGCTGTTGGGAGGCTGCTCCTGAGGTCGCAGGAGTGAGGAAGGAGGGGAAGCTCGGAACCTGTCGAGGGATGACCAGACGTCATGATGAACCTGGGGATTGGAATAGGAGATGGTATTAACATACTGAAATTGAGACTTAAAAAACACAGACCAGGCGCGGTGGCTCACACCTGCAATCCCAGCAGTTTGGGAGGCGGAAGCCAGAGGATCGCTTGAGTTCAGGAGTTTGAGAGCCGCCTGGCCAACATGGTGAAACCTCGTCTCTACTAAAAATACAAAATTAGCCGGGCGTGGTGCTGGGCGCCTGTAGTGCCAACTACTCGGGAGGCTTGAGGCAGGAGAGTCGCTTGAACCTGGGAGGTGGAGCTTGCAGTGAGCCGAGGTCCCGCCACTGTACTCCAGCCTGGGCGACTGAGCGAGACTCCGTTTAAATAAATAAATAAACAACACACAAGCACAGCACCGAAGCGCAATGGCGACGCTCAGGGAGGCCCGCAGACTCCAGTCCTGGGCCTCTCCCGGCCTCAGCCAACGCAGCTTCCAGACCCGGAACTTTCCTGGTGTGGGGCGAGAGTCTGTTCCCACTACCTGAACGGGGAGGGTAAGAACGGACCACTTCCGGCGAGGGGCAGGAAAGACAGCGTCTTCCGGCGCGGCGGTTCCGGATAGCCGTGCGCTTTTAGTAAAAGATTGGGGTTCGCGCGGCGAGAACGGCTGCCCCGGGCCCTGTGGTTCTCGTCCCGCAGCGTCCGCTCCCCCGCGCCACTGCGCCGGGGAACCTCTGCGCCTCTCCCAGGAACCCTATTCTCCGGGTCGCCGGCTTCTCTCCTGCCTCCGGTCCCGCCAGACACCTCGAGCTTCTTGAGTAGCTCGGTCCTTGATGTCCCTCTGGGCCCTTCTCGCGTCTAATGCCTGAGCCCTCGGGCCCCTCTAGCCCTCTGTTCCCTCCCCTCTTTTGTTCCTCCCTAGAGCCCCGCCGCCCTCGGAGGCCCCCAGGGCTGACAGTGCGGACGGCGGGAGTTTCCTCGCTCCCCTGCTGGGATTGACTGACCGAGGGTTTAGTGACTGCCCGGATCTGGCTGATAGGGGGACCGAGAGGTGGCCTGGGCCGGGAATGTCCAGCTAGGGTCTTCCATGGAAGTCAGACATGAAACTGACAGGCCTAAGGGAAGCTAGGGAGCCCTCTCACCGCTCAGCCAGGGTGATGGACTGGACTGACGGACTCCAGTGAATTTGAGCTTGCCTGTCAGGCTGATCGGTTGATAGACAGCCCTGGACTGGCTCACTAAAACTGACCAGCCCGGGCCCAAGCAGTTCTGGGGTCCCAACCTGGGTGAAAGGTCTGAACTGATGACCCACCCAGGCTGACCAGACCAGCCCACCTCACTGACCTCCTAACCCCTGACCTCATCACCTGTGCAGCCATGGAGAAGATGTCCCGTGTGACCACAGCCCTGGGTGGCAGCGTGCTGACGGGTCGCACCATGCATTGCCACCTGGACGCTCCCGCCAATGCCATCAGTGTGTGCCGTGACGCAGCCCAGGTGGTCGTGGCAGGCCGTAGCATTTTCAAGATCTATGCCATCGAGGAGGAACAGTTCGTGGAGAAGCTGAACCTGCGTGTGGGGCGTAAGCCTTCACTTAATCTGAGCTGCGCTGATGTGGTGTGGCACCAGATGGATGAGAACCTGCTGGCCACAGCAGCCACCAATGGTGTGGTGGTCACGTGGAACCTGGGCCGGCCGTCCCGCAACAAGCAGGACCAGCTGTTCACAGAACACAAGCGCACGGTGAACAAAGTGTGCTTCCACCCCACTGAAGCCCACGTGCTGCTCAGTGGCTCCCAGGATGGCTTCATGAAGTGCTTTGACCTCCGCAGAAAGGACTCTGTCAGCACCTTCTCGGGTGAGGCCACAGAGGCGGGTCAGGGCAGGTGGGCATCTCTGCCAGTGCCCAGCCTGTCCATGCAGGTGGAGAAGGGCTCCGTGCATCAGAGGCCCTCAGGATCACTCAGAGGACTTTCTCAGGGGGAAAGGGAATCAGCACGGGAGGGTTGGGGCAGGTTGGGCTGGACTGCATGTGAGCCAGGGCAGTGAAGTGGGAAGAGGCAAGAGATGAGACCAACAGAAATTGAGGCTAGCTGTGGGGTAAGGGAGGGCAGAGCCCCAGCGGTCTCCCAGCCAGCCCCGGTGATGAGCAGAGAGCCACTGCATGACTCTCTTCCCTCACCTCGGAGCTGCAGAGGCTGCCTCATAGCAGGAGGTCCACCAGGACTTCCAGGTTTCCTGGCCCAGGGAGGCAGAGGAGGTGGGTTTGCTGTCCAGTGCCCCGGGACCCTTTTCCTAACAGGCCCAGCTCCCCGATGGCTGACCTGAACCAGCTCTCCCTTGTTCACCTGGAGGAGACTAGGTATGAAGCACAAGGCGGAGCCCTCAAGGGACTCAGAGAATTTACGGGCCACTTTAGACAGATCCTGGCCAGGCACGGTGGCTCACGCCTGTAATCCCAGCACTTTGGTAGGCTGAGGCGGGCCGATCATGAGGTCAGGAGATTGAGACCACCCTGGCTAACATGGTGAAACCCCATCTCTACTAAAAATACAAAACAAAAAATTAGCCAGGCCTGGTGGCACGCACCTATAATCCTAGCTACTCGGGAGGCTGGGGCAGGAGAATGGCTTGAACCCGGGAGGCGGAGATTGCAGTGAGCCAAGATCATGCCACTGCACTCCAGCCTGGGTGACAGAGGGAGACTCCATCTCAAAAAAAAAAAAAAGACACATCTTGAGCTGCCTCCCCTGGAGGGCCCTAGAGGAAGGTTGGGTACCGCCCTCGAAGTCTCTTGGTGTGGTGGTGCCCTAGGGTGGACCTGGACCCTGACTCATCCAGTCCTTTGGGGCGGACCAGGCAGTTCCAGCTTCAGGTGAAGGGACTGGGCCGAGGCTGGGGCACCCTCGTCAACACCTCCTTGCGCCTCCCACAGGGCCGTGGGTGGTATGCCAACGGGTCTGCTCGGGCTCCAGGGCCGTGGATGGTTATCCTGGTGGTTCCTGCTCGGGCCTCCCACAGGGCCGTGGGATGGGTTATGGCTGGGTGGGTTCCTGCTCCCGCCTCCCACAGGGCCGTGGGATGGGTTATGGCTGGGTGGGTTCCTGCTCGCCCAGTGCTCAGCTGCTGCATCCTGAGGATGCACCACAGCTTTGCTCAGGGACCGATGCAGGAAGCAGAATCTAGGGCAAATGAGGCCTGGGAGTATGTGTTAAAAACCACCTGGTGTCCTGCTCCCGGGCCCAGGCTCTTGTGGCGACTGCGTGTGGCTGCTTTCTTGGGCAGATCTTGGGGATGTCCAGTCTACCCTCTGGGCCTCTGTTCTGGGCCACAGGCAGGTGTGTGACACCATGCCACAGCTGCTCTGAGGGTGCACCTCGTGGGCCAGCCCCGTCACCTCCCCTGCATCGATCCCCTGCCTGCAGGCCAGTCTGAGAGCGTGCGGGATGTGCAGTTCAGTATCCGGGACTACTTCACCTTTGCTTCCACCTTCGAGAATGGCAACGTGCAGCTCTGGGACATCCGGCGTCCCGACCGGTGTGAGAGGATGTTCACAGCCCACAATGGACCCGTATTCTGCTGCGACTGGCACCCCGAGGATAGGTGTGGCATGGGGTGCAGGGGGCAGCAGGTTGACAGTAAGCTCTCACTGCCTCAGACTTGTGAGTCAGTCCGGAGCAGCAGAGCTAGGGGGTCCCCTCTCCACAGGAAAGGCCACTGAGGGTTTGGGTGGGCCTTCCCACAGGGGCTGGTTGGCCACAGGAGGGCGCGACAAGATGGTGAAGGTCTGGGACATGACCACACATCGTGCCAAGGAGATGCACTGTGTGCAGACCATCGCCTCAGTGGCCCGTGTCAAGTGGCGGCCTGAGTGCCGCCACCACCTGGCCACGTGCTCCATGATGGTGGACCACAACATCTACGTCTGGGATGTGCGCCGGCCCTTCGTGCCAGCTGCCATGTTTGAGGAGCACCGAGACGTCACTACGGGAATCGCCTGGCGCCACCCCCACGACCCCTCCTTCCTGCTGTCTGGGTCCAAGGACAGCTCACTGTGCCAGCACCTGTTCCGCGATGCCAGCCAGCCTGTCGAGCGTGCCAACCCCGAGGGCCTCTGCTACGGCCTCTTCGGGGACCTGGCCTTCGCCGCCAAGGAAAGCCTAGTGGCTGCCGAGTCGGGGCGCAAGCCCTACACTGGCGACCGGCGCCACCCCATCTTCTTTAAGCGCAAGCTGGACCCTGCCGAGCCCTTCGCAGGCTTGGCCTCCAGCGCCCTCAGTGTCTTTGAGACAGAGCCGGGTGGCGGCGGCATGCGCTGGTTTGTAGACACAGCTGAGCGTTACGCGCTGGCTGGCCGGCCACTGGCAGAGCTCTGTGACCACAATGCAAAGGTGGCTCGAGAGCTTGGCCGCAACCAGGTAGGTAGGTGTTGAGCCTGGGGGCCCCGGGGCCATGACCTCAGGGCAGGGGCTTGTTCATCTGTCAACTGTGCCCACCCCCCGACCTCAAGCTCCGCAGTGGATTCCAGCCGGTCACACCAACAGCCCTTGCCCCGGATCGCTGAGGGTGTCAGGATCACACAGGGCCAGGGCTCCAGGGTGGGCCAGACCCGGGACTGTCCTCTGTGGGGTGGTCTGGGGAGTCGTGTGACTCAAGCTTTCTGTTCTGCCCTCTTGTTTCTGGAGCTCTCCCCGCACCAGCAGTGGTGGAGCTGTGAGCTGCCGCTCCCATGCCCATCTCTGGCTGCCCCACAGGTCCCCACCACCCAGTTCTGTTTCCCTCTGTGCTGCTCTAGGGCAGTGCCTGAGATTTTTGTCTTTCCTATGAGCCTCAGCTTTCCTACTTGGGGTGGGCCTGGACATTGGGTACCTGGGGCAGCTGAATGCTGAGGGCTTGTGATTCTGTCCAGGCAGAGGGGGACCTGCATGGGGTGCTGGGTGTCCAGGACGCCCACAAGTGACCAGTGCCCGCCCCTAGGTGGCGCAAACGTGGACCATGCTGCGGATCATCTACTGCAGCCCTGGCCTGGTGCCCACTGCGAACCTCAACCACAGCGTGGGCAAGGGTGGCTCCTGTGGCCTGCCCCTCATGAACAGGTAGATGCCGGGGGCAGCTCTCCCCAGGGGCTGGGGCTGCTCGAGCCCCCCCCACCCATGGGCCCTTCCTGCCCCCAGTTTCAATCTGAAGGATATGGCCCCAGGGTTGGGCAGTGAGGCGCGGCTGGACCGCAGCAAAGGAGATGCACGGAGCGATACAGTTCTGCTCGACTCCTCGGCCACACTCATCACCAACGAGGGTAGGCTGGGGTGCTGACGGGAGAGGGGTGGGGGTGTCCCAGAGGACCCTGAACGCCCACCCCATTGTCGGGCAGATAACGAGGAAACCGAGGGCAGCGACGTACCTGCCGACTACCTGCTGGGTGATGTGGAGGGTGAGGAGGACGAGCTGTACCTGCTGGATCCAGAACACGCGCACCGTGAGTGGGGGTCTGGGCAGGGTGGGGTTCAGAGGTGAATGGAGGACAGAGACTCAGAGCTGCTGCTGGTCCCTGCCTCCCAGCCGAGGAGCCTGAGTGTGTGCTGCCGCAGGAGGCCTTTCCACTGCGCCACGAGATCGTGGACACGCCTCCCGGGCCCGAGCACCTGCAGGACAAGGCCGACTCCCCGCACGTGAGCGGCAGCGAGGCGGATGTGGCCTCCCTGGCCCCCGTGGACTCCTGTTTCTCGCTCCTGTCTGTCTCACACGCACTTTACGACAGCCGCCTGCCACCTGACTTCTTCAGCGTGCTGGTGCGCGACATGCTGCATTTCTACGCTGAGCAGGGCGACGTGCAGATGGCTGTATCTGTGCTCATTATCCTGGGTGAACGGGTGCGCAAGGACATCGACGAGCAGACCCAGGTGTGTGGTGGGCGGGGCCTCCCCCCTCTGCAGCGCCGCCCCTGGCACCCAGACCCTGACCACCGGGCGCTCCCTCCCCCAGGAGCACTGGTACACTTCCTACATCGACCTACTGCAGCGCTTCCGCCTCTGGAACGTGTCCAACGAGGTGGTCAAGCTGAGCACTAGCCGCGCCGTCAGCTGCCTCAACCAGGCCTCCACCACCCTGCACGTCAACTGCAGCCACTGCAAGCGGCCCATGAGCAGCCGGGGCTGGGTCTGCGACAGGTGGGGCAGTGGGGTTGGGAGCTGGGGCAGGGGCCTGCAGGCAGCGCAGGAGCCCCCGCTCAGGCGCCCTCCCTCCTGCCCGCCCCCAGGTGCCACCGCTGCGCTAGCATGTGTGCCGTCTGCCACCACGTGGTCAAGGGTCTGTTCGTGTGGTGCCAGGGCTGCAGCCACGGCGGCCACCTGCAGCACATCATGAAATGGCTGGAAGGCAGCTCCCACTGTCCCGCGGGCTGCGGCCACCTCTGCGAGTACTCCTGACGGGGCATCTGCTGGGCTTGCCTGGGGCCCGGGGACCTGACTGCCCGGCCGACCGCGTGCAGAACTCCGCGTGGTCTTGTGCCCGAGACGGGCGGAGGCTGAGACCCCAATAAAGGAAGTGGAGCCGCTGTCAGCACTGCGTGTCACCTCATCGCGCGGCGAGTCCGCCGTATGCCCGCGGTGCTGCTGGCGGGCGGGGGCTTTCGGCGCTGTCGCCATGGTAACCGGCGGCGCCAATAGTCGCTCTCTGGCCGCCTTCCCCGCGTTCTCGTAGAGGCCTCTTCCGGGGCGGGCCAAAGGAGCTCACTTCCGGGGCCCGTCCCGGCTGCCGGCCGTTGCCACGACGACGAAGCTGCCGGCCAATGGTTGGCGGACGGGCCCGAGGTTCCCGGCGTGCAACGCGGCTGTCTGAGGGCGCCGGGCTCATGGCGCCGGCGTCGCGGCTGCTCGCGCTCTGGGCGTTGGCGGCTGTGGCTCTACCGGGCTCCGGGGAGGAGGGCGACGGCGGGTGGTGAGCGGCCCGGGAGGGGCCGGGGCGGTGGGGGCACGTGCGGCGGGCGGGGCGCGGGCTGACCCAGCTGTGCCCGCAGGCGCCCGGGCGGGCCGGGGGCCGTGGCGGAGGAGGAGCGCTGCACGGTGGAGCGTCGGGCCGACCTCACCTACGCCGAGTTCGTGCAGCAGTACGTGCTTCCTTGATCGCGGAGGTCGGGCTCTGTTCACACGCCCGTCTGCCCGGACCGCCCAAGGCCGCCTTCCCTGATCTCGCGCGCGCGTGTGGGGCGGGGGCGGCGAGGGTGACGGTCGGACCTGGCCGCGACTCTGCATTTCTTTCCAGGTACGCCTTCGTCAGGCCCGTTATCCTGCAGGGACTCACGGACAACTCGGTGAGCGCGCGCCCGTCCCCGGCCACTCTTGCCCCTGCTGGGTCCGGCCACTAAGCCCCCTCCCCGCCCCCGCAGAGGTTCCGGGCCCTGTGCTCCCGCGAAAGGCTGCTGGCCTCGTTTGGGGACAGAGTGGTCCGCCTGAGTACCGCCAACACCTACTCCTACCAGAAAGGTGAGCGGCCCCGCCCCTGCGCCCGCCCGTGTGCCAGCACCGGGACGGCTGGACCAGCCGGTCCTGACCCGTCCCTCTCCTGCAGTGGACTTGCCGTTCCAGGAGTATGTGGAGCAGCTGCTGCACCCCCAGGACCCCACCTCCCTGGGCAATGGTGAGTCAGCCCTAGGTGGCGGTAGGGGGTGGGGACGCCTGGAGTTTCCAGGTGCCAGGATCCCTGCCCCCACCGTCTCTACTGGCAGACACCCTGTACTTCTTCGGGGACAACAACTTCACCGAGTGGGCCTCTCTCTTTCGGCACTACTCCCCACCCCCATTTGGCCTGCTGGGAACCGCTCCAGCTTACAGCTTTGGAATCGCAGGTGAACGCTGCTCAGGACTGGGGAGGAGTGAGGTTTCTGAGGGTGGGTACAAAATGGCTTGGTCACCAGGTGCTCATAACCCCACAGGAGCTGGCTCGGGGGTGCCCTTCCACTGGCATGGGCCCGGGTACTCGGAGGTGATCTACGGCCGTAAGGTCAGCACAGGGTTGGGGTTGAGCCTTGGGGCTCGGTGACCAAAACAGGCAAGGGTGACGCTGCTGCTCCTGCCCCCAGCGCTGGTTCCTCTACCCACCTGAGAAGACACCAGAGTTCCACCCCAACAAGACCACGCTGGCCTGGCTCCGGGACACATATTCAGCCCTGCCACCGTCTGCACGGCCCCTGGAGTGTACCATCCGGGCTGGTGAGGTCAGTGGCTGGCAGGAGAGGGCCAGGCCAGGCCAGAGGCCCCCAGCTAATCTGTGCTGAACCCCTTTTCTCCACCAGGTGCTGTACTTCCCTGACCGCTGGTGGCATGCCACACTCAACCTTGACACCAGCGTCTTCATCTCCACCTTCCTCGGCTAGCCAAAGCAGCTGGCAGGCATGCCTGCCACACACCAGCACGTCCCATCTCGTGCTCATGGATTTTATTACACAGACAGTGGCGGCAGTGGCTTCAGCCCAGCCCACCCTCACCTGCTTTTCCAGCCCACAAAGGGGGACAATCACGGCCCAGCAAGAGCTATGCTGAGAGGGGGAATAGTCCAGAGCCCAACAGCAGAACTTGAACTTGGAAGGGGCCAGGGTGGCCAGCAACACAAACTATGTACAGGGGTGGAGGGCTTCCGCCCAGGGCTCTCCTGGACCAGGATGCTGGGCAGGGCAAGGTATCTCAGTAGTCCTCCACCCAGCCATTCTCAGAGATGAATGCGTCAATGACTTCCTTCATGGCCAGGTTGGGGATGAGCTGTTCCTGGGTCAGGGGGCTCCGGGTCACGGGGTCAAAATGACCCACGCGCTGCAGTGACAAGAAGGGCAGAGGGCAGTCAGTGGGCCCAGGACCATGCTGCTGGCCCTGCCCCCCCAGCCGCAGCCTCACCTGCAGGTGCTCCTCGATGTCCTTGCGGTCGTAGGTGATGCCACTGGGCGTGATGCACGGCTCCCGCATCAGCTCAAAGCTGATCTTACCACACAGGTAGTCGGGGATGTCACGCTTCTGTGGCACAGGGGCACACGATCAGAGGCTGGGAAGGGGCACTGCTCCAGCACCTGCCACCCACCGCAGCAAGTGACAGACACTCACCTTCCTCTTCTCGTCCACCTGAGAGAAGAGCTCGTCCATGTCTGCCATGTACTTGTCCTGTGAAGAGTTGAGCACTGCACTTGTGCGGGACACCCCACCTCCCTCCTCCATGGGGCACAGACCCAACACAAGGCGGGGATGCTCCCACGCCAGGTGCACACACACAGACCCACATGTGGGAGGGGGGCACCCTCACATGCTTAGCCTCAATGCAGGCCTGCTGGGCCCGGACGTGGCTGTCGTCCTCATCACCCTCGTGGTTCCGCTGGCACTCTTCCAGCTCCCTGGGGGTTGACCAGGAGCCAGTAAGAGATGGACCTGGCCAGATGTCTGACCACACCCCAACCTCAGGGCTAACATTCATGCTTCTTCCCCACGTTTTCTGCTCGCCAATAAAACCTTCAATAAACGCTCATGTTGGTAGTTGGTGATTCAGAATTATCCCAAGACAGGGCGACCTGGGGTGAGGGTCCCACCTCTCACGCTCCGCGGCAATGAGCCTGGAGAGGTAGGAGTGCAGCTCGCTCTCCTGGTGGATGCGCCGCTCCTCGATGCTATTCCAGCGCTTCTTCTTCGCGATTCGAAGAGCGCTGGGGATGTCGTCCCCGAAGTTCAGCCGCTGCTCCTTGGCCAGGCTGTAAGCTGGGGAACGGGGGCTTCAGGTCACTCTCTGGCCAGTCCACCCGCCTGGCCCCAGGGGCCCCACAACCGGGCAGCTTGTCAGCCAACCTCGCTGCAGATTGGCGATGGCCTCATCATAGCTCTCCATCTCCAGCTGGCACTGCCCCAGGAAGAAGTGCGCCTTCACAGACTGCCCGTCCAGTTCCAGGGCGCGCCGGCAGTCGGCCAGGGCCTGCTCGTGCTGCTGCATCTTCAGGTAGCACAGGGCACGGTTGGTGTAATATACGGCCACCAGCGGGTTCCGGGTCTAGGGACCAAGGCCGGGCCAGCCGCATGAGGGTGTAGGCTCAGCGCGCCCCCTCTGTCCCACGGCCCGTCCCAGCTTCTGCGCTCTGGCTAGAATCAAGAAACTAGGCTTCTCAGTCGTCAAAGCCCCTGGATCCAAGGATCTGCAGACAGTGGAGTACTGGCTGAGCCTATCCGCTTGACTCCACTTGGTTTTGTAAAGTTTTCCAAATCTTTGGAGAGTCCAGGCTTTGGACCTGGGATCCTCAAGGGGCGAGGGCCCCTGCCCTCCCCCCGACCCGGCCGGCCTCCATCCAGCATCCCACCCTCGTTCTCCGACACCCGGCGCTGGGCTCGGGAACCACGGCTGGGCTTTAGGAGCCCAGGACATGCCCCGCAGAGGAACCAGACCCTCGGTGGGGCCAGCCGGGCACGGGCCCGGCCCTCCCCGGCGCCGCCGCCGCCGCCGCCGCCGCCCTTCCCGCGCGAGCGCACTCACGATCGCGCGGCCGTAGCAGGCCGCCGCCTCCGGGTACTTTCGGCCCACGAACAGACGGTTGCCCTGCTCCTTGAGCTCCTGCGCACTCGGGCTCTTCTCGGGGCTTCCGCCGCCAGCGCCCAGCCGCGCGCCGCCCTCCTTCTCCTCCTTGCCCTTCATGGCGCCGCGCGGCACGGCCTGGGCTGCGCTCCCAAGCTCCGCGCCTGGCGGCCCAGCGCCTGCAGCCCGAGCCCCGCAGCCCGAACCCGCGATCCTCTCGGGCCCGGCCCAGCTCCACCGCCGGAACTTCCGGCCGGGGGCGGGACCAGCGGGGACGCACGGGTGGGGGCGAGTGGGGCCGCGCGTGCGCCCAATCAGCCTGGACGGGGACGCTAGGCCCGCGGCGTCGGGGGCTGGGAGGAACACTCCGGTTCCCTCGCTCGGCGCTCTTAAGGGTCGGCGTTCGCGGAGGCCCTGGCCCGCCCTGCTGAGGCCTCTTCGGAACCGGCCTCGGCGGCGACCGCCACACACATTCGACTTTCCCAGTGAGATGCCTTGGTTCGCTGAGGGCGCACTCCCCCAACAGCCTGTCCCGACCACCTGGCGTTCCGCCCCCGCCGCAACGCGCAGAGACCCCTCCCCAAGCAGCGGGCCCCATCCAGAGGCCCTTCCCCCGGCAGCCAGCCCCGCCCCCAGCAGCCCGCCCCATCGGCAGACGCCCCGCCCCCAGCAGGCCGCCCCACCCAGAGGCCCCGCCCCCAGCAGCCAGCCCCTACCCAGAAGCCCCGCCCCCGGCAGCCGGCCCCGCCCCTCCGCGTGAACATAGTGGCTTCCCGCGCTGTTGGGTGTAAGGACCCCAGTCGCTGGGCCGCCATTCCGGAGCGCCATCGAGAGGTCCTACGGGCGCGCGCGGACCCCCGAGTGCGGCTGGAAGCCCTGGGCCGTTGGTAGAGTGGAAGGGGATAAAGGGATCGGTGGGCGAGCGTCCCCTGTGGCCGGACCTCCCCTCACCGCCCTTCCCCAGGTATCGGGAGGAGTTGCCAGCGGCCATCAGGGGCAGAGCGGAGAGCATGTGACAGGGAGCTGGAGCGGCTGCTGGCCTGGAAGCTGGCGGCGAGGGGCGGCCCGCCTCGAGGGCCGGGCCTCCGTAGGGCGGGTCTTCATCGGGGCGTGGCATCGGCGGGGCGGGGCCTCCAGAGCGGGTCTTCGTGGGGGCGGGGCCTCCCTGTGGGTCCACCACCCCGGGCACCCTGACCTGGCTTCTCACAGCAGCTGGTGACCACCAATCCCCCTGAGCTAGCTGTGCACTGTTCGACCACCACCTTCTGCCTCCTGCCAGATGTGGGGGCCGCGGTCACCCAGCTGTCTGCCCTCTGCGGTGTGGACCCACCACAGTCACAGCCTCAGGTGAGTTGGGTGGGCACGACTTGGGTACATAAGCGTCCTTGTCTGTGAAGCAGACAGTCTGGGCCCTTGTGTGTCTCTAGGACCAGGAGTCGGAGCCAGAGCTTGTCCTGATGGGGTGTCTGGCTGCTTCTCCTCGCTGCTCACAGCAGTCCTGGTGCCTGGAGCTCGAGATGGAGGCCTTCATGTCAGATGAGGCAGTGGTCACAGTGCCCGGCCTGCCGGCCCCACAGTACACCCTCAGGTACTACCTGCTGTACCTGGGCCAGGTTCAAGAGTGGGCCACAGCTCTGAGCCAAGGTGAACGAACTGTGTGTGGGCAGGCTGGGGTGGCCCGTGCCCCTGGGCCTGAGTCTGTGTGCTCCCCACCTAGTGGAGACAGCACTGTGGACCTGGGCCGTGGGGCAAAGGCTGTGCCCAGACCTGCTGCCCAACCTTGGCCCCAGCCTGGCCACCCACGTGGACACTAGGCCAGCCAAGAAGCATGGGACCCAGGCCGAGTGAACTTGGCTATAGTCCAGGCCTGCTCACCTGCTACACAACCTTAGGCCTCCGGGTCTCACTGGATGGCAGGGAGGCTGAAGAGTAGGTCAGCCACTATGGGAGCTCAATAAACACTTCCCAGACTCATGCGTGATTACACACCCAGTCTGACCGCACACCCGGCCCCCAGCCCTCCTGGGTGCCTCCAACTCCCATAGACACAGCACCCATGGCCCGGAAACACCTCCCACACCTGACCTCAGGTGCAGAGGTGCACAAGGAGGGAAGTCCAGGCCCTAGTGGTGGGGAGGGCCCTCATGGTCTGTTCAGCAGGTGTGGGGGTCCTGACAAGTCTCCAAAGCCCGGGACAGCCCCCTGGTGCTGTGTAAAATATTTATTAATTATCCAAAAAGGCTCAGACCGCAAGTCCTGGGGGCAGGGGGGTGGCTGGGACAGGGTCTCCTCTGAGGCCACCCACACCCGAGGGGCGCAGCAGCCCTGAGATGTCCGTTCACAAAGGGCAGACGTGAAGGCCCCTGGTGGGCAGCCACCATATGCCGAGCCCTGGCCTCTGCAGCCTCAGGTAGCCGGTCAGGGCGGTGGGGGAATGTGGGCGCCCAGCAGGTCGTAGGCAAAGACGTTCCAGAAGACGGCGAAGAGCAGGAAGGTGCCGTAGGCCAGCAGCACCACCCACCAGCCACACTGGTCCCGCAGGCGCTCCTCGTAGCTACGCAGGATGGTCAGGCCCATGCTCACCCCCACCACCGCGCCCGCCAGGTGCGCCATGAAGCTGGGCTGCGGGCCCGAGGCGGGCAGCGGCGGGGAGAAGCGCAGCCACACGGCCCGGCCCACCTCGGAGCTCACTGCAGAGGGACGCGGCAGGTGGGAGGTGCCCTGGCTGCAGGCTGAGAGGCCCCCCAGCCCTCCCCCCAGCCCCCTACTCACTGCACACCAAGGCCAGCACCATCCTCAGCAACTTGTAGGGACATCTCATCCCAGCCCAGTTCTATGGGGGTGTGCAGATGAGAAGTGGTGAGGCTCACCAGGGGCCCCTCCCCACACCCCCCACCGGGCAGGCCCGTTACCATGACGACGTTGGCCAGGTGTGCTGAGCACAGGGCGTAGACCCCGCCGGAGCCTCCCACCACCGGGGCCCGCATGTCGGTGATGGAGACAGTTAGGGAGCCTGTGTGAGCAAGCGGCGGGTGAGGGTGCAGCCGGCCAGGGCAGGGGGTGGGGGTGCGCGCCTGCCTCACCTGCCAGCACGCCTGCCAGGTAGAGCAGGCTGATGCGGAGCAGGCCGTGCACCATCTCCAGGGGCACCCCGATCATCAGCTGCAGGAGAGCGTTGAACCCCAGCTGCTCCAGCCTGGCCACACGAGCAAACAGGCACAAGGGGTGGGGTCAGCCGTCCGGCCCCACCCCCAGCCCTCGCCTCAAGTTGCTGCACCTGCCCTGGGGCTTTAGTCTTTCTGATGTAACAGCAGTGCGATGTAACAGCAGTGCAGGGAGGGGGGCTCACCGGGCAGCCGCGCTACTCACCCAACGTGCATGAACATGTAGGTGAGGAAGCGCCAGGCGCGGGCACGGTGCCCAGGGTGGTACACGAGGGGGCTCTTCATGTACTCGGGGTGGTAGGTCTGCAGCACCCACTTGTTGAGGCGGGCCCCGTAGCACAGGAACACGATGATCTGGGGACACAAGTGTTAGGCTGGTCAAGGCCAGGAGCGCCGGAGGCTCCCAGGGCAGCGGCTGGGGGGCCCACCTGGGCAAGGGTGACTGAGGCCATGAACACGGGGGGTGGGCAGCTGCGGTGACGGTAGAAGTACCAGCGGCGGTCCACCTCGCAGGGCAGGATCTCATAGGCCACGTAACGCACAAACCGCTTGTAGACACCTAGGCCCGGCTCGTCCAGCAGCCCGTCCCGGGGCAGTGCCCGCTGTCCATTAGCAATGGCCCGCTTGAAGCTGCTGGAGCGCTTGCTGCTGATCTGGGGACAGGGACCTGAGAGTGGGCCACGGACCTCCCCATGGCACCCCTGCCTGGGAGGCTCGCCCAGCTTCCCGCATCCACAAACCCCCCTGCAGTGAGGAGTCGCCTTCCCGCCTCCTCTGGCCAGGACACCATGCCCCTGCCGCCTGCCCACCGTGGCACTGACCAGGTCCACCAGCTCCTGGTAGCAGACCTGGCCCTGCTCGTTGCTCTGAGCCAGGGCCACCAGCATGTCCAGCTTGGCCGGGTCCAGGGGCAGTTCATGGCTGTGCACCAGGCCAGCGAAGGTGTCCGCACCGATGAAGCCTGTGTTCTCGGGGTCCAGCTGCTGCAGTGAGGAGCCGCCAGCCAAGGCCTGAGTGCAGGCCCGACCCCTGGACCAAAGGGCTGGGCCAGGCTGGCTGCGAGCATCAGGCTCAGGCTCCCAGCACTTTTGGGACAGGTGCCCCGTGCCTGCCTGTTCCCCGGGACCCTGCTTGATCCCAGGAGCTGGCAGGGCACTGGTGCCTGGGTCCCAGTCCTCCAGCTCCTCAGCTGTTACCCCGTCTTCCACCCTACCCATCCTGGAAGGGGAGGGCCAAGGTCCAAGACCAGCCAGCTGCCCGCTCTCCCTCCCTCCCTCCCTTCCTTCCTTCCCCGGACTCTCCCTTCTCCAGCCAGGAGCCCTGGTCCAGTCAGCCCTCTCCTGGGGTCCCACACACAGGGGCCAAGGTCGTGCAGGGATGGGGTGGGTGCCGAGCGGGGCTCTCGGGGAGCTCGGTCCTGCACAAGCTCAGCTCAGCGGCAGGAGGGCCGCATTGGGGGCGGTGCCAGCTCCCCAGACCACCCCGCGACGCACCTGCTCCTGGATGAGCTGCAGCAGGGAGCTCCTATCCATAGAGCCGGGCCGGGGGCCGGGGTCGGCGGCCGCGGCCGGGAGGGGCTGCTCTGCGGACGACTCCGCTCCGCCCCAGCCGGCCCGCTCCGCCCGCTCCGCTCGGCGCCGCGCTTGGGCCGCGTCACCGAGTCGCCCGCCTGCCCGCCCCTGCCGCACACGCCGCCACGCGCGGCCAAGACACGCGCGCACCCTGCACGCGGACGCACACCCTGGACAGGAACCGCCTCCAGCGAGCACCGCGTCTCAGTGCCGACCCCCACCCCCGCTCTGGCGCAGCTCCAGCACACTGGAGGACCTCCGCGGCAGCCGCTGGTAAATGGAGTCACGGGGGTTGAGGGGGCACCTAAAACCCCCATGTAAGTCCGTTCGCCCTCTCACAGCTCTCCTGGGCTCACGCCTGTGAGGATGTCACCTCCTCCAGGAAGCCTTCCCTGACCACTGCTTGCCGCCCCTACAGGCTGACCCAGTGCTCCCTGCGGTTCATGTTCCCACGGCTGCAGCTCCTTTCTTGCGGCAGACACACCCCCTCCTCCTCCCACGCCCCGCCCCACCTAGCACGGCAGCAAGGAAGCCCCTCGCCCTGCATGGCCGCTACAGCCACCTTAGGGTGAGGAAGACCCTGCTTCAGCCGCCTTGGCTCCGACGACCAAGCCCAGCCCACTCATCCACACCCTGGGGTGGAGGCCCCGACCGCTCTTGCAACTCCATGAAGGACAGCAAAACCTCCCGCCCTAAGAAGGCGCCAGGGCTGGGCACAAGGGGCATTCCGACACAGAGTGGAACCCCCAGGGGGCAGGGCTGCAGTTGGGATGAGGGGACCTTCTCCTGGGAAGGTGGGCCAACCCCTCCACAATGGAGGTGACAGATAAAACACGTGTGACTGCCGGGCGCGGTGGCTCACACCTGTAATCCCAGCACTTTGGGAGGTCGAGACGGGCAGATCACGAGGTCAGGAGTTGGAGACCAGCCTGGCCAACATGATGAAACCTGGTCTCTAAAATTGGCTGGGTGTGGTGGCACGTGCCTGTAATCCCAGCTACACAGGAGAACTGCTTGAACCAGGACCCGGGAGGCAGAGGTTGCAGTGAGCCGAGATCACGCCATTGCACTCCAGCCTGGGCAACGAGTGAAACTCTTGTCTCCAAAAAAAAAAAAAAAAAAAAAAAAGATACATGTGCCTATGGCAGCTCCTCCAAGAGCCACTCAGAGGGCTCCTCCTAGGGTTGCAGTGGTCCCAGAAGGCAGGCCGTGGGGTACAGCGGGCTCAAATAGCATCAGGCGGTAGGTACCTCAGGGGCCAATGCCACAAGCTCCAAGGCAGGGCCCGCATGGGCCACGACTTGGGAGGGAGCCCCACCTGCCACTCCCTAAAGGCAGACACTGGAGGTGGGGACCAGGCCTTCCGACATGTGTCTGGGTGACTTTGGGAAGGCCATGCCCTGGGTCCCGAGAAGCAGGTATCTGGACTCAAATCCCAGCCTGTCCCTCCTTCTGGTCCATCCTGCCTCCCTCCCTTGGGTCAGGGCCCCAGGGTCACCCTGCTCTGTGGCAGGCGGTGACCACATATGGTCACACAAGCCCAGGTTCTTGGTGCAGCTCAGCGAGGCCGACAGGACACTCTGGGGAGTGGGCGGGCAGTGCCGGGGCACACTGGACCCTCAGAAGGGGCTATCAGGAAAACATCTCAGGTACCGGTGCCCCCCAATCCATGCCGGGCACACACCATCCTCATGCAGTGAGCTCCTACTCCCAGACCGCAAGACCTCCAGGGACACTGGCTCCCAGGCCACAGCGGCCCAGAGTGGACCTTCCAGAGGCCATATGCACATGCCTGAGACCTCAGGACAGTGACCCAGGGACGAAGGAAGGGGTGGCATTTCCAGCCCACATGAAGACAAAGAACACATTCTAGGTTGAATCAAGGCAAGTTGTCTTCAGAGACTGGGATCCCAGATGGAAAAGACACAGTGAAGTTTAATCAGGAACCCAACCTCCAGTTCCTGCTGCAATCACAGAAATAGCTCCAAACTTGAGGGGGGAACCCCCCCAATGCCTGCTTTTGGCCCAAAGCTCTGCCTTCCAGCCCTCCTCACACCCACTGGCCACCCAGGATCAGGAAAGGGGGTAGAGCCCTGAGAATTCCGGGTCTGGGGTCACCGGCTCCCACACCTGTGGTCCCCAGCCCAACACACATGATGCCCAGAGGTGGGCAACCCCTGACAGTGGTGGCCAGCACTCGGGAGCTCCTGCTCAGCCACCTGCCACAGCCCACCCTGGG